GTACACCGACCTTTCCTCCTCTTCCCCTTATTAGATGAGTAGCGAGGTCATGGATTTCTCAGAAACCACTAGATATAGGATCAAATGTGCATTCTCTTGTGGCCTTATCCGGATTGGTGGAGAGGACAAGAAGTGATTCACTCCTTGAAAGGCTTCCTCACATGTTGCCATCCATTCATATTCTTCTGACTTCTTGAGGTCCGTGAAGAAATGGATTCCCTTATCTCCAGAGCATGACAGGAATCAAGATAAAGTGGCTAACCTTCCTGTTATTTGTTGTACCTCCTTTTTTGAATACGTTATAAGGTGAGACAATGTTGACGATCAAGTACCTTACCCTGACTGTTTTTGCATTTGCGTCGCTTCCAAAGGTAGTGAGCACTGAGAGGTGTCCCAATACTTGTACTTGTTCTCCGAAGAACCCGACCAAGGTGCCATTGAAAGGTAACATCTCAGACGTATCAAATTCCATTCCATTGAAGGCCTCTTAGTAGAGTACATCGGCTGAGCTACCAGGGTCCACCAGCACCATTTTCACACTCCAGTTCTGGATTTGTACCTTGATGACCATAGGATCGTTTTCGTGGGCCATAATGTCGATCGCATCCCGCCTGGAGAAGCTAACTGGGTTGAGGTCCTGTTCCCGGACCTTGGCTATGTCCTTTGGTACGTACATCATGACACGAGCATACTTCTTTCTGGCCGAGCTGGTCTTGTTGCTACCAGCGAATCCGCCGACGATGGTGTTAAGGGTATGGTGAGTTCTCTTGGTCTCGTGCACTTATTCAATGTTCTTCCCCTTCTTTTGGGAAGGCTCTTCTGGGTCCGTGTCTTTTTGCCGAGTATCTCTTTTTCCAGCTGGGGTTTTTCCATCTTTGACATAAGTTAGCAAGTGCTCCCTCTGTATTAATTTCTCGATCTCTTTCTTTAGCTAGAGGCAATCGTCAGTATGATATCCCTGAAGCCGGTTATAATTACGTCAAGCCCTGACATCTTTCCCTAGTACGACATCGACTTTCCATCTACGGGGCGCTTCTATGATCAGGTTTAGGTGTGCTACATCCTAAAAGATTTCGCCTTTCCTTGTGTTTAAGGGTGTCCCCACGTCATCTGAATCATTGGGACATCGGTTAGGTCTCTCAATGGTTCGTTCTCGAGCCTGTCTCTTGAGGTCTCCTGAGAAGACTCATGTTTCCTTCCTGATCCTTCTTCTTTGGTCTTGTTTTTCTATGAGGCGTCCCTGGACCGTTTTTCCAAGTTTCTCTCCTCACCTTTTATGTAGCAGTCTGCCCTGGTGATGATTTCGTTCATGTCGGGTGCGAGCTTCTGGGCTAAGGATTCATTGATCTGTCCTGCCCGGAGACTATGTTGGAACGCCTCAACGAAAATTTCTTGGTTTGGATGAGATTCTTTGATGGTCTCTTCATTGAACTGGGCTAGGTATTCCCAGAGAGATTTAGCTTGACCTTGTTGGGCGTTGAACAAAGACGTCGTGGACACCTTGGGGTGTTTGTTAGCGGAGAAGTGCCGGATCAACTTCTTCGTTAGGTATGTGTAGCTTTCCACGGATAGTCATGGCAGACTCATGTACCACCACAGGGCCACGTCCTTGAAGGTGCTAGCCATAAATTTACAATGATTTGGCGGGGCCAATTATCACCATTTGGTTGTTGATGGCAATATTGTGCTCCCGGGGATCGGTTTTACCATCGTAAACTGTCAACGATGGTGATTTGAAAATCTCTAGGACTTGGTCGTTCCAGATAGCTTGAGATAGAGGTTGAGGTTCCAGAAGCTTCTCTTCTGGACCATCATCCCCTACGCTTCTTTATTTTAAGTCTTTGACGCTGTCTTGTAGAGTTTTGTTCTGCTTCCTGAGGGCCTCCACCATGGCTAGTAGTTCTGCCATATCTGGGGGTCTCTAGGTGATGACATTCTGCAGAAGGTGAATTGAGGTGTGGCCTAAGAATAATTTTACCAAGGCTCCTCTATGGGCGCCAGTGTTCTTGTGTAGAACAAATATCCGACAGGCTTCCCATGAGGTTGCTAGGAAGAGTCTACCTGAGTGAGTTTATGAGATGATTGGGAGATTTTGGAGCTACGACAATGATGTGTGTGTCCCAAGACGAATATCTTGCTTATCCCTATGTCGGGAGCCCCTTTATATAATGTGTCTTTGCGTCATCAAGAGTCTCAGTTAATGAGTGACTATTGAGTTTCATAACTCTCATAACCTCTGTCGTCCTCATGAATGGAGGAATCAAGACTGTGTAACGTCATAATGATTGCGCCACCGGAAGTTACAAGCATTAATGAGTCGAGATGGTGATCTTTCACGGATAGGTGCTTCCCGACTACCTATCCTATCCAGGTCAATGATGGTGACAGGTTGCTACTCGGGTTCATGTGTCATCTGATATTTCCTTAACCAAGTTGCATCCCGGACCCTAGCCTTGAGCTGACAACTGATTTAGCCTCCTTATCAATTACACTATCCGGCCGGACCTATTATTTCTGAGATGTACATTAAAATTTCACACCTATTATATTTTATAATCCCATGTTATTTTCTCTAAAATATATGTATCTTTAAGTATTATCTTTCTTAGTATATAAATGTTTTCATTCTATTTCTTTATGGGGTTATATTGATCTTTGTATTAAAGTTAATAAAGTATTTATTATTTTACAATTAACATAGTTAATTTAAAAAATTCTAAAATAATATATGAGTTTTATTTTTGTGATCCTATAATTTTCATGAATTGTTTATAAAAGCATACTATTTTAATAGGATTTAATTCATACAACACTTATTTATCTAACAATCACATATCATATGCATTTTTATATCTATTCTTTTATATCTCACCATTAAAATATGTCATGATAATTTATAATATAATGTGTGTGATATTTATTACTTCCTTCGATTTAGTCTTACTAACTTTGCTTTAATGTTTTAGACATACTATATTTTATATTCATATAACTTCCTTATATTATAACATTTGAATTTACATTCTTTTCTTTTCTCTTCTATTATTATACTTTAGAATTCACAATTTAGATATATCATGACACTCTTTTACAGTATACAAATATTTAATAATAAGAGGTCTATGTTGAATTAGTATAATAAAATTTTATGTGATATTTCTTATTTTCTAATTTATATTAATTATTTTATCTATTTTAAAATGATTAGTGTTTAAAATTTTTACATAAAAATTAAAAAATATAATAATATTATTATGAGATATTGTATTTTTACTACATTAATTTTTTAAATATGTTAGAAATAACATATAAAATAATATTAAAAAACACAATTAAAAAAAATTATTATTTTGAAAACAAAAAATGACAATTATTTTAAAACAAATTTTATTTGATAAAAGAGAGTACATTTTTCAATATATATATATATATATATATATATATATATATATATATATATATATATATATATATATATATATATATATATATATATATATATATATATATATATATATATATATATATATATATATATATATATATATATATATATATATATATATATATATATATATATATATATATATATATATATATATATATATATATATATATATATATATATAATGAAACTATTTATATTTACTCTACTTTATCTTTAATCATATTATATCATTATATTTATTTTTCTCTTTGCAATAAAATTTTAAGAGTATTATTGACAAAAAAAAATTAATATCACAACGAGTAAAAAAATGTAATTAATATAGCATCAAAGTTTATAGATGAAAAATAAATAGAAATACAATTTTTGTTACAAAAATGATTGTGATAAACGGAAAAACCTAAAAACAAATGAATTAGTGGAGTAATAATTTTGGTCAACATCCATATTTTTGATTTATAGATTCGTTTTTGCTTGAATGTTTATTTATATCATAGTCTATAGAACTTTTAGTATTTAAAAAATAAATTTCTTCATGATATTTAGTTTCAAAACAATGAGTCTTTCTTAATGTTTAATTTTAATATATATTCAAATAAAAGTAACTTCAATGTAAATTAGTTTTATACTAATTTCCTATTATATTATAATATAAGATGATTAATTAAATAAAAATATTTATAAAGTAGACATACCTTCAACAATTTTTCATTGTAAATTAATTTTATACTATGACTGTATTGTATATGACCATTAAATCATATACGTGATAGGTTTATTAGCCTTTGATACTATAAAGGCAAACTCTTAACATCTAAAAGATATGTTTAATTATAATATTTATATTAAATTATAATATTTATTCAAATATGTATTAAATTATTTAAATAAAATAAAATTTTTATAAAAACAGTCCTATAAAATTGATCTGAACGGATGTCAGGTCCAATGTAAATGTCTAGTAATTATAAATTACAATCAATCATAGAATTTCAATTTGCATGTTACACAAGTCTGAATAGTAGTAGCTCCACATCCCTCTTAGTTACACTGTCATATGATAAAAGAGAGACCACGTGGTCGTAGTGTATTGGATGCATGCATATGTTTTTCTACTGTATCATAAGTAATGACAAGTGTATAATTAATGGGTCAAAAGTCACCCTCCTAAATTTTCATTTGTTAACTAGATATGCATGTTGTATCATTTAATTTAATTGAAACTATTTATTCATTTAACTTTGGCACTATTTTTTTTATAAGTATTACTATTTACTCTTTTAATTTTATTCAGTTAATTAACTAATCAATCTTAAACTACAATCATAAAACAAAGCCAAATTTTTTTTTATAAATAATTGAATAAAAGAATTATTTATTATGTTGTTTGTTTGTTTTTACGTAAATAAATTATTATTTTAAACAAATTAATTATCTAAAATTAATGAATCACAATAAATAATTTATATTTAAATACAAATAGTTCTATAAATTGAAATGGTTTGAAGCAAATTCATTCCATGCAAAATAATATCTCATTTATCTATACACAATGACAGAAACCACTAATACATTTGTTCTATTTCTTCTTCTTGTGACAATGTTTCTGAATGGTTATAGTGCTGAAGAAGTAGGAGGAACTAATCAACTGAAGAAAGACGATGGTATTTACAAATCTCAAAAATTTGGAAAGTGTGTAGATGGTATGATTTTGTATGGCATGTGCTTGAGTACTCCTTACTTTTGGCCTGTGTATGGTAAGTTTTGTACTAATATCGATCACACAAACGTCGCACCTAATAGCAGTGTTACTCCTAAGCTTGAAAGTGATGTTCTTCCATGATTATAAGAGATATTATAGTCATATATATCTATATATTTGAAATAATGTTGTTTGTTGTCTAAGTGTCTTTTTGTTATATGTCTTGTTCAGAGGATTATATATGTTTTATTTCTATGCAAGTTTGTATTAAGTTTCTCTCTATTATGATTATGAATAAAAGTAAGGAGTGTTTGTAAAGTACATTGAATAGTTATATGCATGTCATTTCCACCAAATATTGTTCACACAATCACACGGTTTTATAACACTACACATTGTCTAGTTAAGCAATCATGAGTCTCACAACAGTGAGAAATTGGATGTTGATGAATAAGAGAGTACTGAAGACACGATATCATGAAAATGTTTCTTAACTCGCCATGATCAGTTTTAAATTGAAGACAATAGATACAAAATAAACATACAAAGTGTTATCTCCATTTAAATGATATGACACTAGAATAGAATTTTGCAATAAATATACAGATCCTATTATATTTTCAACATATTTTCAGAACTACATAAATTGAAACAAATAACATCTCATAGATCTCATTTGTGTATATAAAACATAAGCATTGTCGTCCTCTCTTCCAGAAAAATATTATAGAAAACATACAAAGGAATCCCATGATAGGACAATGGCATGTCAACCAAAACTTGTTGATGACTCAATTTTGGTTCAAGCATAAACATTTGCGTTTAGATTTTGTAATTGTTCCCCTTTCACATCAGGTAATGGCTATGCTTTCACGTCAGGTGATGGTTGCGCTTCCACTTCAAGTATTGGCTCAATATTCACAGTAATTATCATCAAATCTTAAATTTAATGTAACTGTCACCAAATCTTAAATTTGATACCACACTCAAACAATATTATTGTGTCTTGCTTGTAAAGTTGGATAGTGAATTTTGCATAATTAATGATCAAAACACTAGCGAGATATTCAGTTGCCAAGTTCTCATGTGTTTATGAATAAATACTATAAAATTATTCGCATCATTCTAAAGTCACTATCTTCAGGCACTTGGAAAAGTATGGAAGGTACTTCACATGTATAGGCTATTGAAATTTGATTATGTACATCATTTTACACTAAGTGTAATTTAGTTAAGTTGTACAAGATGATAAGATGAGTATATATAGTGGTGCATTACTAATTATCTTATGTAAGAGTTACACTATGATGCATACATGTTTATGTATCCCTAGTTTACATTGAGTTACACCATGTCATGAGAACATGAGAAAGAAGTCCATGTGTGATGGTGCCTTTGAGATATTGTAGAATGTGCTTCACAACTGACCAGTGAGATTCTAGGGGAGACGCCGTGAATTGGCAAGCTTTTTTCACACTAAAAGCTATATTAGGTTAGGTAAGAGTCACATTCTGCAAGGCATCAATAATCGATCAATTTAAGTGATGGTTTAACAAGAGACTTGTGCCATGTTTACTAAGTTTTCATTTAGTGATCATAGGAGTGGGAGTACCATTAGTATTCCACATTTTAGCTCGAGAAAGTAGATCACAAATGTATTTGGTTTGAGCGAAGAAGGTCACCAGTAGATACTACTTTGATCTTGATGCCAAGAAAATACTCAGGAGTCCCCAACATTGTAAGGGAAAATGTAGTGTGCAAAGAGTGATTCAACTTGTGTACAAGTGTAGATGAGCATCTAATGACGAGAATATCATCAACATACATCAATCCATACTTAGTGACTCCATAGTGTGAGTAGATGAACAAAAAATGGTCGCATTTGATGTGAACAAAGACAAAGTGGACAAGAGCTTGAGTGAGTTTGTCATACCAGGCCCAAGGAGCCTGCTTGTGGCCACATAGAGTTTGTGGAGGTTATACACAAGATCAATTCCTTGATGCTCGAATCCTGGAGGTTGCATCATGTAAAATTCCTCTTGTAAGGAACCATTTAAGAATACATTGTTGATGTCTATTTGTTGCAACTCCTAGGGATTAGTCAATGCTTGAGTCATTACACCTCTATGTTGGACTTGAGACTTCACACACAAGATAATGGTGAATTGTGTGATTTGAAAAATATGGTTTTGAAAACTTTTTCAAGATTAAAAACAGAGTTCGAAAACATTTTCCTAAAACCTGAGATATATCAGAGTTTCAAAAGGTTTTTCTTTAACTTAACAACAGAATATAATTTAAAGTAAATTACAGAAGTAAAGGATTAAGAGAAAAGAAGAACATCACGATGTATAGAGGTTTGGTCAAATCAAAAGGACCTACTCCTATCTCTAAGAACTAGTCTTGAGAATTTTCATTATATACTTGAGAATGTTTAGTAGGTAAAGCTCACGAATCCCTTTATATAAGTAAATGTTGGTTGTCCTACAACCATGATAATACAAGACGTATAATATGATTGTTTGCGGATTCTCCATTGTTTAGACTAAAGTGGACAAGCTTTCTTCCCAAACTATAGATTGAAGTGATTAAACTTCTCTCCACAAAATATCTGAGCTCAATATGGTTTAACAAGATAACCATTAACCTCTTGAGATTTTAACAAGCTGATCTTCTAACCTATGGTTTTAAAACGAGCTAACCATGAACCTATAGGTAAGTTCATAAATATTGATGATCTTTGATAACGAGAAAACATATCATATAATTACCATGCTTTTTACCGATTTTATATTTCATTAAGTCGTCTAACCCCCGATTATTCCGAGATTATTTGTCTTTTTACAGGTATAACATTTGTCAACTCAAACCAATGGAAAAGGACAACATGAAGAAGGCTAGACAATAAACAAAGAGAAAAAAGAATTAAAAATACAAAGTTTGGATTTTTGGAGCTGCGACGGTCGTCACACCCTTGTGACGGACGTAACACCCCCCAACTTGGAGTAACGCTCGTCACACATCACTGACGAGCGTAATGCGCTACTTAAGCGCGTTACGACCATCACCCACATGTGACGATCGTCACGCGCGTGAAGGTGGACGTTGTACATGGATAGAGACGTGGGCATTGAAGGGCAGACTCGTTCTCCTATTTTCCTGCCACCCACTATTAGTGCTCCCTATATTTTCTCCATTAAAGATTTCTTCAAGATTTTTCAACTGCTGTTTTTCCTCTGCTATATATACGTGTGCCAGTGCAAAGTACCAGGGGTGGAAGAAATTTTCTCAGAACAAATTTATTATTCTTTTTCATTTATTTTCCATTTCCTTGTTTTGGAATATTGTTTTACGTTCCTGTAATTTTCATTTCAAGCTTTAGTTTTTAGTTTTAGGTGTTAATTCTTCCTTCAAGAATTAACACGATTTATTTACTGCAATCAAGCTCAAGGATTATTGTAATACTTCAAGATTACCATAGCAACTTTGATTCCAGGTTTTTATTGCAATTAATATTTATTCAGTTTCTATATTATGCCAATTATTGTTATGAATTATATTTTGAATTGTATTGTTGTTAAGTTAATTATGTCCGGCTAAATTATTAATACCGGTATGTGACTCTTAAGAACTGAAAGAATTCAGTGATACCTTGGCCAAAAATATTTATAAAACAATTTCTGGTTTTCAATTTCCAAGATTAATTTAACTATCCTTGTCACGAGAGTGAGAGGTTAATTAACACGATTTTGCCACGAGAGTGGGAAATTAATTAAGGCAAGAACCTGCATGCGAGAGCTGGGGTTCAACCCAGATAGTGGTAACGAAACATTAATTTTTAAATACACGAGAGTGTTTTAATAAATTAATTAAATTCAAATTGTTTTCAAAAAGTGTTATTAAATTTAAAGTGCATCCACTAGGTTTAGTAACATAACTTATTTCATGAACACGAGAGTGTATGTCTCAGGTTTTTAAACAATTAACTTTTACCGAAATACTTTATAGGCCAAGCGATTCCCCGAATTCCCGAAGTCCGATTATCACATATCGGTGTAACTATTACTATTATTTTTAATTAAACTGTTTCCCTCAAAAATCGAATATTCATCGCTTAGTTAAACAAACTGTAGCATTAGATCGTATGCGATTGATCCTCAGTCTCTGTGGGTTCGATAATCTTTTAAAACTAGAACGACTGAACTGTATACTTATAGTTAGTATCCCGACAGACTCATAAAGTCCCGATCAAGTTTTTGGCGCCATTGTCGGGGACTGGTAGTTAATTAATTACGATTCTTCTGTTGCACGTTTAGACTAGGCAATAGATACCCTTTTTCGATTTGTATGCCAAGGACTCGCTCACAAGGAGAACCACTTGACAAATCGACGGACGAACCTGAACGCATTCTTTCCGTAAGACATGCAGTCAGGGATTACTGTTTAAATCACGCTATTCCTTTACCCAAACCAGAAATTTGGCGCCGTGGCTGCAGTTACCCCAAGCTGCGAAGTTTGTGGAGTTCCTGGTCATGTTGGAACCGAATGTCAAATCTTAGCAGGAATATCAGCTGATCAGGTAAATTACGCTCAAGGTAATCCTTATGCCAATACCTATAATCCTGGTTGGAAGAACCATCCTAACTTCTCGTACAAGAGCAATAACGCTTTATATGCACCTGGCCAAGCACCTGCTGTACCTCCAGGTTATCAAAAACCCGCTGGTAATGTTCCTAACATTCTTAAGAAATCTAACCTTGAAATCCTAATGGAAAATTTTATCGCTAATCAAGCCCAACAAAACAAAGAATTCCTCAATCAAAATGTTCACACCAGTGAACAGTTGAAGCTATTAGCAAATAAGGTAGATGCCCTAGCAACTCACAATAAAATGTTAGAAACCCAAATCTCCCAAGTAGCACAACACCAAGCTAGTTCTGCCGCACCTACTGGTACATTTCCTGGACAGCCACAGTCCAATCCTAAAGGACATGCAAATGCTATCACATTACGAAGTGAGACAGCCCTTGATGGACCGGTAGATCCTAGACTCCAAAACCCGACCATGTATCAAAAACCTGAAAAAGAAATAGAAAAGTCGAAAGATCAATCTGAAAATGTAGAGGAAGACGCGAATGAGA